ATATATATGTATGTATATATGTTTCAGCCTTTAAAAGGAAGGCAATTCTAATGCGTGCTACATCGTGAATGAAATATGAGGACACCATCCTAAGTGAAATAATCCAGTCACAGAAGACACATACTATATGATTCCATTTGTATGAGGTACATAGAGTAGTCAGAAAGCAGAATGGTGATGCCAGGGAATGGTGTTGGGACAGAACATTCCCTGCCTATTCCTGCTGGATATTAGGAATTGAACTCAGGGCTTCATACATGGTAAATCTCTACCACTAGCACGGTAACAATAGCATGGTAAGGCTTAACACTAACCAGAGTTAGACTTTCACAAGTTAAAAAGCATTCTGTGTATTTTATGTGTCGAGCTTTATCATGTTTGTTTATTCCATCCCAACAATAACTCTATTATGTAATCAGACCCTGTTTTATGAGGAAGTGAGGCAAAAGGAAGACAGTAACTTTCTCACAGTCACAAAGCTAGAGAAACAAAGCAAAACACAAATACAAATGACAAGTCAGGATTGAAACTCATGTCTTATTGATAAGAGACAAAATAAATTCAATTCAACCAACATTTACAAATTGGCCTCTTGGTGGGAGATGCATAGACAAATAAGACCTTGCATCTACTGTGGAGGGGTCAAATTTAGTGGACACTCAGGCCAATGCAGGCACAGAGGAGGAAGCAGGCAAGACAACCTTCTGGGGACTGCACAGAGAGGAGGTGAATGGAACCAGGAATGAGAAACAGAAACATGCCTTGTAAGAGAAGAAGAAAAGCCTAAAATTCTGAAATACACACAGTGAAGGATGGGTTTTCTTTTGTAAATTTTCAATCTACCACAGATCTGTGTTTTAATAAAATACAACAAAAACGCTTTGCTAGAAAAATAAAATATAGTTGAAGATATGTAAAATTCAAGCTCATGGTTCATGTGCTTGGACGTCATAGCAATGTCCAAAGACTCTGAAAGTTTTAAAATTATAGTCTCAATATTCTTTACCTTATTTCAAAACAGTAATAAACAGTATCTGACCTATACCAGTCTACCCACCATACTTTGCTAGCAGCTAGCAGGTGTATAAGGCAAAGGAGTAAGTCAAAGGCTTGAGAGATCATGGTTCCTCAAGCCTAGTGGCAATGATTCTGGTTGTTTGTACCTAAAAGCAACACTGGAATTATAGCTGTCTTACCCTGTAACTTCTTTCAGAGTGGCTCTGTAGGACACTTAAAAAGACAAAGTTTCTCTTTTTCAAACCATGGCCATTGACAGTGGGAAGCACTGAAGGGTTTTGCATGACAGAAACATGACATCTGCAAGGAGTAATCATCTAGGTAGCAGTGCAAAAGTTGGGTATATGTGAGAAGCCACATAGATATGAAGATATATGTTAGTGGCCACATCCCCATAGTCCAAGCAAAAGATAACAAAAGGCAAAACAGGCAGTGGTCATGGGGCAGGGGTGAGGAGGGGAGTAACACATCAAGGAGATGTATAAGATGTTGTCAGGGACACTTCTCCGGTTTAGGGCATAGCAGATTAGCTGGATGGTTGTGACTGACTAGTAAAGAGAATAAGGAAGGAAGACTCGTTTTTGAGAAGACATTAATGTCATTTTAACACTAGACAATCTAGTGTAAATCTAGGGTGCCTACAACAAACTGTTATTTACTGAGTATATATTAAATCAGCCAAAATTACTACTTATAAAAAATGGCTGAATATTGGCAATTTTTATGTGGCTTAAGCTAATATATTCTTAGCTCTGGGATTAACAGTTAATTCAATAATACATGCTTTTGGTTGTGGGTTTATTTTTGGTACTGGTGATTAAACCAAAGACCTTCACACTCAACTACACCTCCATCCCTTATTTATATTTTGAGATGGAATGGGCTGAAACTTGTGATCCTCCTGCCTCAGCCTGTCTACAACACACAACTTGTCTTGAGTATTCCCATTCCAATTTTATAGATGAGGCAGTGGAGGCTCAGCAAGCTCAAAATCCTTGCCCTGCAGTTACCTGGAGATATAGCCACGCCCGCCCATCTTCAATTCAAGATCACTGCTCTTCTCCTCTCCTATGAGGCCCTCATTCTCCTCTTCCCAATGCCCTGGCTACGGTTGTCTTAATATATTCCTATATCAGAGATCTGTGAACTAGACAGCAAGTATGCATATTATACTTTGCAGATTATATAGTTTCTGTCACAATTACTAAGCTCTGCCATTGTGGAATAAAAGTAGCTATAGACACTAAACAAATGCATGAGGCTGTGTTCCAGTAAAGCTTTATCCATGGATACTGAAATTTCAATTTTATGTAGTTTTCATGTTATATGAAATATTCTTTTTAATACTTTTCAAACCTTTACAAATATATAAGCCATTCTTAGTTTATTGCCTACAGGAGATGAGACAGCAGGCCATAGTTTCCTGACACCAGCTGAGTACACCGGAAACTGTAACACTGTTTAGGAATGTGATTTCAGAATATGAAGGGACACCATAAAGGGGATCACGTGTTCTAGTAAAGGCTACTTCAGTCTTTGATTGTGAAACATCAACTGGGCCCAGAGTGCATCACCTAGGTCCCACAACTGACCACTTTATATATTTTAAGACAGAGCTCTCTGAAGGACGACTGCCTACACATCACTGCTAGCAGTCTGGAATAAACTAATTATCATGAATCTCTCTGACTTTAAACTACTTGCTAAATAGTAAGTCATATCGCCTATAGATGACTTCTCAAGCTGATAACTGCACAAATTATGTGTCTAGAGAGTCTTATAATGCTAATTTTTAGGTGGAGAAGACAACAACCAACACATTTGTCTCCACAACTGATGGTGTCTCTAAGTACTTCATTCAAGTGAGAGCAGCTGTGAGCCCTGCATGCAGAACCATAGGGCTATGGAGCAAGTGGAGTCGACCTATTTATGTGGGTAAGTTTCTGAAAGCAGATAATCCCAGAAAATATACACATTTGCTCAGGGGTCTCAAAATGTTTTTGCATGCATGTTTGCCTCATCTATTGGTCTATTACCTTTTCAACCACAGGTAGATTTGCTGAGAAGCCAACAAAGTTTAAACATCCAACAAGACCAAGCCATGTACCTGTTCTTTGTGTCCCCACCCACCCCGGCCCGTTTTTTTCTGTCTCTCAGGCCTTTCCTCTATCTTTCCAAGTCTTTGGTGGAAATTGACCTGATATGCATCAAATGTGACACATCCCGTAGGCTACTGGGTCACTGCCTAAGAATTTTTGGGTTTTTTGTTTATTTTTTGAGACAGGGTCTCACTATGTAGTTCGGGCTGGGCTTGAACTCAGTATGTAGCCCGGGCTTGCCTCAAACTCACCATAATTCTCTTGCTGTAATCTTCTGACTGCTAGGATTACAGGTTTGAGCCACCATGCCTGGCTTGCCTAAGAATTCCTGGAAGCCTGAGTGAATGAACTACAGCATAGAAAACTTTAGCTATCCAAATTTTTAGATTAAACTATTTAAGATCATTGTAGATTCAAAAGCTGCTGTAAGAAAATAGAGATCCCATCTTCCTCTTGCTCAGTTTTTCCCAAGGGTAACATCTTGCAAAACTATAGTACAATACAGTATCTAGGAAACTGGCACTGATAATGCACAAATCTTATTCAGATTCCATCAATTTTATATGTACTCATCTCTGTGTGTTGAGTTTTCCAGTAATGTAGCTCTGGAGAATCTTAGCACACATTTAACTTCATGTATCCATCACCTCTGCTAAGATGAAAAAGAGCTCATCACCATAAGGATCTCTCATGTTGCCCTTTTATAAACACACACATCTTTCTATCCCTGACCTCTGGCAATTATTAATCCGCTCTTCATCTGTATAATTTTCCCATATCTAATTTTGAATTCAGACTTTTGTTTCTTCTTTTAAAGAAGATTTCAAAGTGGAATAACTTTCAAGGCCCACAAAACCTAGACCCCTTCATGACAGAAGAGCTACGTTTGGATGCCTCCTGGGCTCCTAGGTTGGTTCTGCAGCAGTTTCTGAACTGAATAGTTTGCCTGGCAAGTAAAATGAATACTTCATCTGTCAGTGGGATCCAGGAAGGATAATGACTATTGTATGCTGGCCCCAGATGAACAGGCCCCCTGCCAGTCACACCTTGTATCAGATGGCAGCCTGACATCTCCCATGTGTCAGATTGTTGGGATATGGCCTTGCTCCTTGAAGATAAAAGTTTTCACACATTGTGTTTGGCATTTTCTGTGTGTCTTAGGCAAGAGAACGGAGGCATTTTATGAGAGGAGACAGCTACAGAAACAAATAAACTGTCTTGTTGTATATTTTATGATCATGCAGCCTGGATATGTAGACATATGAGGTCAAATGACACGCTAAATCCACAAGAGCAGAGAAGGTGGAAAGAAGACTAAAGTCTTAACATCCAGCATTGGCACATATTAAAGGTATATTCCTGGGCAAATCATTTATCTCTGCTGGCTTTCATTTCCAGGATAAAGGAGAAAACTCCAGCCTATGTTACTGTGAAATAGAACAAAGATAGCTGATCATAGGTGTGGGTAGTTATTTCCAAGAACTGTGATCATTCTTATATATTATCTGAGTTAATTCTATCAACAACCCTATTTTTCAGATAAGGAAATTGGCTTGGCAAGTTGAGATAATCTGTGTAACTGCATGGCCAACAGGTGCCAGAGATGGGGCTCAGCCCTAGGTTATCTGCCACTGGTACCTAATCTCTTGGTACTCTGCATGCAGAATGTGACAGGATTCTGCAAGCTGCAAGGTACTGAACAAACGACAGGCTTATGCAAGAGATCCTGATAGCTAACCTTGTGATAACAGCTAGACATATAAGCTCTCATTAATTTATGGGGTTTTGCATGACTATTTGAAGCAGTTATATTTTCTTGTTGCTGAGACAAAAATACTAAACACTCAAAGTTAAAGGAGGAAAGGTTAGTAGAGTTTTCAGTCCATAGTTGGCTGGATCCAAGGCAGGGTCACATGGCAGAGGAGCACTACAGAGAAACAATTCATGGTGGGTAGAAGGCAGCAAAGCAGTGAAGTAGCAAAGTAGCAGGAAGTGACAGCAAGCGACCCTCTTTCTGTTCTTTATATCTATCCTTGGGAGGGGTAGCACTCACACCTAGGGTGGGCCTTCCCATTATTCACACCCAGAACTACACCAAACCAATCAGTAGACTAATTTAGTAATTACGGACCTTTGATCCTGCCATCATGCACTTAATCCCAGCATTACACTCTCTAGATTCAACTTCTGACCTATTCAACTTCTCCACCTATGACCCCAGGAGGCTTTGGGGAGACATCTAGACACAAGCCATAACATACAGTTAAGAATTTCTTTCAGACATGTGCTAGAATTTTCCATGATGTAATTCATTCACCTAGGCTTTGGGTAGATCTTCAAGAACTTCTTAGTGAGTGAACCATTAGCCTCCAAGAATATGTCAGATCTGACAAATTATCAGATAAATTTCCACCAAAGAATGGGAAAGATGAGAGGCCTGAGAAATGAAGTCTCCAGGGAGGTCATTGCCGATTTCCCACAGAATAGCAACCCCTAGTGTTGTGTAATACACAACCAACACAGCCTTATGGGATAACCCTGACATCACACAAGGGGACTGACAGGAGCAGCACAGAGCCTTCCTGAAGGAACTGAAAGTAGGGTAAAAGGAAATGAGAAGGAGCCAAATTAACCTACTTCATAATTCTGCTGAATCTTCCCCTCTTTCCTTTCCTCCCCAGGATAATGCCCTAACCTCACAAAATCAATTGTGTACACAGAGGCCCTCCCTCAAAACTGATTCATTTGCATAGAAAAATTCACTCTGTGTCCCCAAAGGGAAAACAGTAGAAAAAACATTCATCAATCACAGGGAATTTTTAACAAGATTATTAATTTTGTCAAATATCTATGGCAGAAGCCTAATTTTTGTTATTTGCATTTGATGGGTTCCTTTTTAAAAATGTTTTATATTATTTCTCAAGTATATAAAATTCATTAGCCCCTACTGATATTTCTAAGTATCTAACACTGCTATATACACAGTTTCAGAGATTTTTTTAATGCTGCTCAAGTGCCCTCAAACCAACGTGCTGGACATCAGGGTCAGAATCCTGGCTAAGAAGCCGTTATTCTTTTTCAGTGCTTGAATTCTACCAACATGCTGGACATCAGGGTCAGAATCCTGGCTAAGAAGCCGTTATTCTTTTTCAGTGCTTGAATTCTGAAGTCAAAGTCAGTGTTGACTGTAGAGTTAGAACTTATGAGTTGAGAAAGAAACACTACACACCTGGAGCTCTAGGTTTTAGCCACAGCTCTGCTAATATCTAACTCTGTGACTCAAGTTGGAGATGGCAAAAGATGGTATTTTCTGAGCCCAATTATCAGAATCCACTTACAATATGGCACTAAGAAGCAGTCTGAGGCTAAGTTTAGGTCATCCCAGGGAGTGATGATCTTCTGCCACTACTGCAGGGCACAGCGTAGTGAGCAGCATGGCAGGGATTCACCAGCCCAATCTAATCTGGCACACTCTACCTCTCTGGGTCTCAGTTTCCTCACCTATAAAATGTGAGTGCCACATGCTCCAGCTGCTTCCAACTGTGGTACAAAAGTGCTGAGAATAAAGTTATGATTCATCATAAGAGTTTACTTTAAGCTTGTTTTAAATTTATTATTCTTTCTCCCCCTCAGACCTCTCTCACCATTGTTATTTCCTAAATTACAGCTTCCTAGTTAGGATCTGGGCTCATTAGTTTCTCCCCAGGTGTACCTCACCACCATTATTAATGGCAAATCCCATTTCATTTGCTGCCACCCATTTCATGAAGATGAGCTGATTAATATCAGTACTTAATTTATAAATTCATTCTTTCTGGAATTTACTTCTCCATTTAGTTTAGGATCATTAGTGATTTTAATCAATGCAGACTTTCCATTTTTATCAAGATGATTAATAAACATAATAGGAAGTCCAAGCCTCTTGGGGACATTTTGCATGGCTCTTCCTTATCCCTTGAGGACACAGCAATAATTACGCTCAGCTTGCAGTCTATCAGGCAATTTTGCTGCTAAACACTCATTTCCTTTTAACACTCTTCCTCCTCTCCTACCTTGCCTTATAAATGGCACCCTGGAGCCCTCCTCTCCCATTTTCATTCCCAGGTACAATTCAAATATAGTCCCTTCCTTACACATATTAAGTCTACCCCCTTTACTTTAACTGAAGTAAGGAAATGAAGGCCCAGAGACAGTAAATGTCTCAGTAGTTGTCAAACAGTGAGGAAGTGGCTATTAATGCATAATTTTCTCAAATGGGTGACATATGAGCCAATTAACAAATTAGAATAGATTCAATTAACTAAATTAACCCATTATAGTACTGGATCATTTCATAACCAATGAAACATAGATGAGTTTTATTAATGAGATGGGCAGCGGGTATGTGTGGTTGCTTCTGGCTCTGGCTGGCAAGGTCCCTAGTTAGCCAGGAGGCACAGAAAGTGCCGGCCCTGAACTATGCCTTACGTTGCCCTTCCCATTCTAGGATATCCAGAAAAAGATCTTTTTTTCTCCAAATGGAAGTAGCAGTCTTACTTTATCAGTTCTGTTATCAATTGCCCTACATCAGGTGGTTTCTGTCTTAAGAGTAGCACTTCCCAATTTTCAGGCTTTTTTTCAAACTTTCTTAACTTCCGGATTCTTTTCTTCCTTTATCTTTGTTATCTCCTGTTTACTGAAACATTTTGTTTCCCTACTCAAGTCTTAGTGAAGCTTTTTACTTGTTCAAGCTTACAGCTTCTCTCCCCTCCCTGCAGTTCAAATGCCAAGTGTGAAACAAGCATTTATGAAAATGGATTTCCCCACTGTTCATCCTTCCCTATGGAAAAGAGACTG